CACAACTTTTTTGCTGAGATGCTTTCTCTCAGCCAGTGGAGCTGTTAGGCCCTATTTGGGCCCATTGGGCCCTAGTGGGTCCCATTGGTCCTAATTGGGTGCCAACAATCCTTTTTGCTTTGCTAGCTTTTGCGTGGGAATGCAAGCAGGCTAGCCCACGGGGGCTGCAAAGCGGCCGCCCGCCACACAAGAGGATGGAAATGGCCAGTGGCTTGGACAGTTCACCCAAAGGCAAAGTAACAGTTCTAGCTTCTTTTGCAGTTCCCTCTTCTTGGTGGCCCTCTGTTCATGACGCAGCTTACCGCGACAAGTCCTGATGGCAGTTCGCTTGGGGCGGAGCTACTTGGAACATCAAACCCAAGTCCTCATGGCAAGCAAGCTCTGTTGTTGTCGCGTCTAGAAAGAACCGATCGCGGCAGAGCGCTGGGCACAGAGCATACTATCTGGAAGTACGACGCTAAAAAGTCTCGCTTGCGCCAGCCAAAGCAATTCTGGGCGACACAAAAAGAGTAGCACGGTTTGAGGGAGGCTAACACGGCAGCGGTGAGGGTGTGGGGCCGCCAAGGGCGCGCCATGCGAGGCTCGGGTCAAGGCAGGAGTATACAAATGTGTCAGTTCTGTAGCTGCTACAGGGCGTTCGTGGCACGACTTGCAAACGCTCGTCAGCGACGCAGCAGTTCCTGTAGCGACATGTCCTCATTGCTGACTGCCTGGGGTGATGCTACTTGGAACGGAATCAGAGCTGGCAGCTGGAGCACTGGGCACTGGTTCTGCTGTGCGAGAGCTTCGCTCCCACGGAGATCAAGCCACGTTTGCCTCCCGCTTGATGCCTCGCTTCAGGGAGCTGCATGGCTGCAAACGGCTGAAGCTGCAGCGCAAAGCTGTGGGTGGCTGAGCAGATAGCTTGCTGGGGCTGCCAGCTCAGGCTCACAAAGCTGTTCAAAGCCACAGTCATGAGCGAGAATGGAGTGCTGGCAAAGGGAGACCGGGAGGCCCATTAAATCTGTCCTGCACCACTGATTGCACCAAGAAGGCGCTTCTGGGCCCCGTTAGGCCCTGTTTGCCCTGCTTGCCCTATTGGGCATTATAGGGCACAATTGGACCTTATTGGGCACCCATTAGGCCCGGGCCTTATTGGGCCCATTTGGGCTGTCATGGCTTTTGCCTGCACAGAGTGCCCAGGGGCCAGCAAGTTGTGCGGCAACTCGACGATGGTCAGTGTGCCATCGGTGTCTGTCTGCACCCTCACAGGCTCTGGACTGACCATGTAGTAGAGATGGTTGATGCTCACCGAAGTGGCGGCAGTGGACGTCAATTGGATACCCATTCTACCAGCGGATTTCCTGTTTCCTGGTTGGTGACCTTGATCTCCGCGCGAGAATCCTGGGTGTTGTCTGGCCAAGTGTATGATGTGTAACTTCTCCAGCTTGACGACTGCCCCAGACTGTCGCAACTTGTAGGACTGCTTGGGGTGATGCTACTTGGAACGAAACCAGAGCCGGCAGCTGGAGCACGCGCGAGAGTTTTGCTTCCACAGAGATCAAGCTACGTTTGCCTCACGCTTGATGCCTCGCTCCAAAGAGCTGCATGGCTGCAAAATGTTGAAGCTGCTGCACAAAGCTGCGGGTGGCTGAGCAGATAGCAGCGTACTGGGGTCGCACTGCCAGCTCAGCCTCGCAAAGCTGTGTCAGCAATGCAGCTTCACAGCCACACACAATTCCTGGTCCTTGTGGCAGACTGCTTGGGCACCACGCCCAACAGCACTCCTGCGCAGCTGCGGCAAATCTCGCTTGCCCCAGCCAAAGCAATTGCGGCAAGCTCTGTCGCCACGTCTAGAAGGATCCGACAGTTGGGGCACTGGGCACAGGACCTGCTGTGCAGAAGTTCGGCTCCAAGAGATCTCACTTGCAGCCAAAGCAACTCCGGGCGACGCAAAGAGAGCATCAAGGTTTGAGGGAGGCTAACACGGCAGCGGTGAGGGTCTTTCGCTTCCAAGCACGTACCGCGCACAGCTCGGGTTAAGGTGGGAGAATTTTGTTTGTCCCGCGGCCCGCAGGGTTTTGACGGCTCAGCTCACAAAGACTCGTCACCAACACAGAACCTACGGAGACAAGTGCTGATGGCAAACTGGGAAGGAAACCAGAACCAGCAGTTGGAGCAATGGGCGTTCAATCTATTGCGCGAAAGTTGGATTTTCGGATTTCAAGCCACGCTCGTTGCAAGCTTGATGCCTCGCTTCGGGAAGACTGACGCGCTCCAGACTGCAGCTCAGCACGCAGCCGCGGGTGCGTGCTGGGGGGTGCTGGCGGCTCAGCTCGCGCATGAGCACCAGTCAATTCGAAGTCTGGAGGCTGCAAGGCACGTAGCACAAAGGATTCGGGTCAAGGCAGGGGATCGCGAATCCGCCAAAGGGCCGTGATGGCTCAGCTCACAAATGCTCGTCAACAACGCAGTGCCTAGCGACCGGGGGAAGTGCAACAAACGGTTCCTGGACACAGCCTTCTCGCCTTTTCATGCAACCCTTGCGGCGTTGACTGCTCACTTCCCGGGAGCCGCAAATAAACGCAGCGGCACAGAGCTGGCAACATCTTGCTGGGATCCTCACATTCGCGCCACCATAAAAGCCCCGATGCGCCCGTCCCATCGGCTCAGTGCATGAACAGGCAGTCAGGCGCCACCCTGGCGGCAATCCACTTGGGCGCCCTGGCGAAGCTTTGCTGAAGGAAGCGCCTGTTGTGCAAGTTGGAGAAGCCACGGTCGCCGCAAGCTTGCTGGCTCGCTTCAGAAAGAATATGACTGGCACAGCCACAAATGGACGCAGCTGCCACAAAGAGTCGGCCACGGTCAAGCAGAGTGTTGGCGAAGGTCAAGCAGATACCCTGCCTGGTTTTCGCATTAGGGGGGCAAACAAACAAGTCCAGCTCCTCGTGACAAATTGCTGGTGCGGCATCGCAGCGGCTTGGAACCAAGCCAGAACCGGCAGCTGGAGCACTGGGCACTGACCTTAATCCGCAGCAGCTTTGCTTCAAGATGCCTCAAGCTACGCTTGCTCCAGCTGCTCCAGCAAAGGATCTGAAAGCGATGCACAGTCGAGGGGGCCAGAGCGTGAGACTTCATGGTTTCGGGGCAAAGCTGGGGGCTGCCAGGCATAGCTGTCAGGGCCAGGCATTCCCATTTGTCGCACGCATTGCAAATCATGGCAAACTGCTTGGGCGCAGCGTTTGACAGCACTGTGCAACTTGGGATGAATCGCCACTTGCTGGAGTCTTGGGCACTGGAGCGTGAACATCATCTGACTGCGAGCCGTGGACGGCTCGCAAAGATAAACGGCGTTCAAGCATTTGCTTCATGATCAAACTCAGCATGACGGAGGCATCCGCCGGAAACGGCTGGCATGGATCCACGCTCGGGCGCAGGTCCAAGGGCCTGACCCGCGGGCACTCCTGGCACATCATGCTGAAAGCGTGGTGTCGGACGGGCAGGAGACTCTTATCCTGACCTTGTTTGTTGTATTGCGGCACGCAATGATTTTGGCACGGCGACCGCCATGCCTGCAACCCAAGTTGGCTGAATAGCCAGTTGAGCCGGCCAGGACGGGCGTGCAGTTGCCCCAGCGTTGTTCCGGCAACATGGACATGCAAGTCCTGTCAAAACCTCCTAAACAACCCTTCAATAGCACATGTGGCAAAAACATCCGTTCAGAGGGGCGGTTGAAGGCTCCTATGAGTTCAACTGTCTTTGCCTTCACATGACAAACGACCACCAGGGTGTGGACCATAATGTACACAGGCGCCTGATTCATGTCTCCCTCTACCTTTCGATCATGCCCCCCCCCGGAAATTCCCTTCAAGAGGGCAACCAAAACATCCAGCAACTGGGAGAAGGGACGCGGCCCCCACTCCCGCAATGGACATGTTGATGGCCGCAGCTGGTTGGGAGCTGTTGGATGGCTGGGGTGCTTGCATGGTGGCCCGGGACCTCCGTAGTCAAGAATGATAGCAACTGCCAAGTTACGTCCGTCAACGTCTCTTAGAGCTACCGTGTCCTAAACAACAGCCTCCCCATGCATGTGGACCCTGCTCCTGCGATAGAACTGTCAGACTGGTCGCAGCTGGCTGGGAGATAGGGAAGAGCAATGGGGACAGCCAAGTTACGTCCATGATTATGAAAGAACGCACAACACTGAATCTTTCTTACAGTCACCATGTTCTAAACAAGAGCCTCACCAGCAGGTGGACCCCGAGAATCAAATCACATCCTTCTGTGGCCTTGAGGGAAGGGATGGCAGGGGTCAAGCTATCAACCCAAAACGTCTCAGCCATGGATGCCAACACCTTCTCGCCCTTTCTCAGCGGCACAAGAGAACCGCTCCTCTGACTGCTAAAACGAATGTCCTGCCACGCGCCTGGAAGTCGAAGGTCGAGAACTGTCTTTGAAGAAGTTTTCAATTGGACTGGCCGCAACACTCTTGATTTCCCGCTCAAATAACCTGCCATCTGCCAATCAGAGCAAAGTGTGAGGAAGTGTCCTGGCTTCACGGGCCACTCGCTCAATTCAAATTCCAGGCGAACGCCTATCGGCGATGCACGGCGGATAGCCAGTTGGCAAAGTTCATTATCGTTCATTATCGTGCTCGAAAACTCATCGGGCCTTAGCACGAGGAAGCCAGTCTCTCCAGGCCAGCTCTACAGCCAGAAAGCACGGACGTATAAAGTGAGCCGATGCCTGGGTACAAGACTGCGAGCCCACCGCGCTTTTTGTTTCACTGGCCGGTCAAGGGACAAACTGCAAAGATTCCAAACCCCCACTCTGCCCAATTTCAAGGGGTGACTCAGGTACACACAGCCAAAGTGAAGAGAAACAGGAGCATATCACAAGCCGCAACGTTTGAAAGTCTGAAAGGTGCGCCGTCCTGAATCAAAAACAAGGTGATGCCTCCGCTTGCCCAATTGCCACGGACATGGTCAAACTCAGAACCCAAGCCGAAGGGTACGCGCGCCTCACCGCCGTACTGAGGTCAAATCCAGCTCCTCCTGGCGCATTCGGATGGTGCCTTGAGGCTCCCAGAGCACGGTTTCCATTGTGGTAGTTTCCCCGTTGGCCTTGAGCGGAGACACTCCCACATAGTCCGTGTTGGGCTGGGACACGCATCGTCCCACTGTCCGACCAGACGAGGGAGGGTCTCTGGGGCACAATGTCTAAACGTCTCAAAATATTTAATTTGTTTGCCAAAATTCGGTGAGGTCCCTCCCCCGACCCCTGCTTTGCTAGTGGCAGTTCGGTGTGCACTCCTAATTTGAAAGGGATCCTCGCCTAACCTACTGAGGCTAGTTTTCAGAGCCTGCCGAGATTGAGGCTGGTTTTGAGACCTCGAGGAACCCCCGCCATTTTAGGTCTGCATCGGTGGTTCGCTCGAAATTCCGCATGATCTCGTTCTCTTGCTCGAGAGACCAATGACTTACTTGCAGGTTAAGCAGGTGAGGCCATCAATCTGTTCAATCAAAATGCTCAGTGAATCAGGATGAACATTCAGAATGAACAAAGCTCTACAAAGAGAAGCTATCCAATACACTGCCCAATTTCCTTGCACGTATTCAGGTTTGGAATGACAGGCAAAATTAAGACCTGTTCAAGCATGTGCAAAGGGGCCACTGTGCAATGCACGTTGAAAGTTTGGATACACGGTCTGTCGTCTGTCACACTGTCACCGTCCTCCGAGAGGGTGGCGTCACTGTCTGCCTCAGGACTTCATAAATGGATCGCGCAGCGTTTCAACAAGACTATGTTGGCAGGGAGTTGAACGGCAATAACAACAAACAACTGCCAATTTGTATAAGGCAACCCGTCCGCTGAAGGTGAAAAGGAGTGTTGCGATGCTCCACAGCCTGGGCTCATGAGTCTCCAAGTTTTGGCCTTTCTGGCGCGTCTTGGCATTGCGGGAAGCGTGGGAAGCGTGGAAACAACCGACAGTCCAAGTTCGCCTCTAAGTTCGCCCAGAATACCGACAGCACACAGCGGCCGCTGCGCCCGCGAGACATGAGCAGGATAAATCATGCCACGTGCTCCGGTCACCTATGGATGGAGGCTCGCCAAGGATCCAATGTGCGAGTCGGGCCCAAGATGGAGGGTCTTTCGAAACCGAGGGCCATCCACTGCAGTACACACATCCACATCCACATTTTCATCTCACCTTCCGCCATGCCGAATTGCCCGCCAGCAACCAAGCCTTCCGAAGGGAACCCAAATGCGTCCAAAGAAGGGACTGACTCGGCAGCCTCTCTGGCCTTTGAGGCTCCGGGCATCCCCTGGAGTCCACTCCTGGGCAAGCGGGAAGGCGTTGAGGGACGTGAACTCAAACCGAGATCCCTCGCGGGTCCATTCCGTGAAACGGCTAAGCTGCTCATGTGGATTGCCCAATTTGGCCCTGAGGAAGTCCAACGTGCATCCAACGATCAAGGGTCCCTGACATGGCACAGGCTCCTGCGCCCCAGTCATGTCCACCTCCGCCATCTGATTCATTTGATTCCCGCCCGAAGTGGACAGGTTCACCAGTGGCTCGAAGGCGAAGCTCGTTGCCTTGCCGTCTTTGGGTTGGCGCCCCTTTTGTGCTGGCTTCGGAGCAAGTGATTTAGGATATTGGGATCTTTAGGTAAGCGATCTGGGGGTCAGCTCGGCGCCCCCTTCACGACATTGGCGTTAAAGTTTATGGCTTCCCTCTCATCCTGCTCCCCAAGTCAGAACTCCGAAGAGGGTCCTTTGAGCATCTTTGAACTTCTTGAACCCGTGAAAACTGCCGATGCCCATGGGCGGCGTCTGGGGATCTGGCCGGACCAGCAGATGCCCTGCGCAGCGCCTCACACTGTGCCGGTGGCATGCCTTGGGTTTGTGGGAAGAGTTCACAGGTCCTTCATCGCGTGGATAAAAGCGCGCATGTGCAGCCTTCTCGTGAAGGATGACGTATTGGTTGCTCAGTGGCGCCTGTCCCATGAAATCAGGAGCTTCTATTCAATGGCTTACCAGGGCGTTGCTTCCAGCGCGACACAAGTCGTAGCTCCTCCAGTTCCTTCAGCCTCTGAATCCATGGGCGGGAGGGCATTGTCCTAGACAGCACTAACTTAGCTAACGACTCGTTTTGAGACGTTCAGTCTCTCAGGACATCGTGGTTACAGGGTGTCACTGGCGTCCCAACCAACGTAGGCTTGACGATACCAGGCACAGTTGCCAGCATGCGTCACAGGCAGTTCTGGGAGACGTTGAAACGATTTGAAGCAGGTGCTAGAAAGAAGTTGGCACAATCTCAGCCCAGGCATCGCCGAAAAACGCTGCTCAAATTCAGGGAATGGCATGGTGCTGTAGCAACACGGTGGGCGTATTGGGAAATGCAACTGAACCCTGGCCATCGTTGGGGAAAACCCTAGCTTCTGTGGGAACCTCGTGTCAGCCAGGCTCTGTTCGGAGCAACATTTGACCCAAGCCATGTTCCTGTCAAGGGCGCTTCTGGCGCCCCCAAATGAGACCTGGGGCTGCGGCTGTGCCCCTGGACAATTGCTGCCTTAGCCCACATCAGCGCTTGAGAGGCATCCAGTCCAATAATGTTGCATCTGAGGCCTGACAGTTTACACAAACCACTCGCAGGAATTCCAGAAAGGGCGGCTGTTGGGCTGTTAAGTTCGGGGGAGTGCTGGGTGGCCCGAAAGTTTGGACTGAGGCCCCTCTACAAAGCCGAATTCAAGCCATACGGCCAGGGATCAACGTCATTCAACGTTGGCTCAGGCCAGTAGACTTCGGTGGCCAGCCGGGGTTGATCCTGGACGTCCGAAAAGAAACAGATCAATGATAGATCCGCAAATGAAGAGCAAATGCAACGCAGGGCTCTCATTTTGACAGTGGCCTGCGAAAGGATGGAACACATGGGAAGCAACAAAAATAAATCCCACGACGTGTGGCACGTGGCTGCCCGGTTAGTAACTGGGAGATTGGGCAGCACCTGATCAACACATCGCAAAAGCGCACTTCTGAAACCTCATGTTGCTACCGACAACCACGTCAGTACTTGCAGCACTTATCCGTTGGAGCATTGTGATTGTTTCTGGGCAGGTCCCGCATCCCTTTCCAACAGCCAAGCTGCAAATCGGTCTCTCCTGGCAACGATGCGGGGGAGGGGGGGGAGGGGGGGGAGACTGAGGGAAGGATCTGCACGAAGGCAAACCAACGCAAAACTCCCCAGCCCGCAAAGTAAAACCAGCGGCTTCCGGTGGATCTCACGCCCTTTCGGACCCGCTCGCACTCTTTGATTCAGACTTTGACCATGGGAGCCGTGAAGGTCAGTCAGCCAAATGTCTTCTGTACCTGGAGGGTTGGGTTCAAGACATGGTCTTCGGGTGGGTGGGCTTGGGGTAGGTCTAAGCTTGATCTTGCAATGGTTGGCGTGGTTAAGACTTGTTTAGTATTGGCTTGGTGATCGGTTCAGTGGGGGTTCAGGGGTTTTGGGTGGGTTTAGGTGGGCTTATGGTCGGGTAGGGTGTGTGGTCGGTTTTTGGGCTTTGGGGCTTGGAGTTGTTCAGGGTGGGGTCACGGTGGGTCAAGGGTCGGTTTAGGGTGTAGGGTAGGTTGGGTGGTTAGCTTGGGGTGTGCTAAGGGATTGGTTTTTGGATCGGTCTCGGGTTGGTTTTGGATCGGATTAGCGCTCGGGGATGGGTTTCAGCCCAGAGATCAGACATGGGCTCTAAGCGACAAAACGCCACGAAAAGCAACAAAAAGCCACTCAAAGCCACAAAACTACCTACAAAAACCGTAAACAGATCCCCTTCCTTTCAAGACTAAGCAGCAGCCCTTCCAAACCGGCTTCTCGATGGTTTGCCTTTTGCAGCGATCCAAGATGCGATTTCCAGCTTGATTCCAATTTGGCAAAGGGTGATCGGGACTGCAAAGCGTTTTGAGCCAACAGGTCTATCCAAATGTCATTTCAAAAAGAGCTGCGAACAAAGAGTAACAAGAGCTGCCCAGTATCAATTCCATCAAAACGGCGGCCCGCCTTGCAGGCTCCTCCGCGGCGTGTCAGGCATTCCGTCCTGGACATGACATGCTCATGTAAGCAAGTCCAAAGGAACGGAGCTTTATGCAAAACATGCGAGCACAACATTGTGTCACCGTGTCTGGCAAAGGTCCACGAACATTTAGACCATTTCAAGGCTCCGACATCAGCCGTTGCACGGTCAAAAGTCAACCTCTCAGCATCCACTACTGCCATCGCCAAACGGCAACTCCAGCTACCCCGACCGCGGGCAACCCGACGTCGTTCTATTCTGGCACGAAGGCTCTTGAGGTCCAAACATGCTCTACCCCATCAATGGGTTCAGCGTTGTTCTCTTGGGCATACAACATGCGATGTCCATGTGCGTTGGAGTCTGAGACCACAAATTCCCACTCCCGGTTCCCTGAAGGCCTGTGAAGCGTTGCTCAGGGAGGACCGGAGCACCTTCACCTGAGCCCCGTCAACTTCCAAGTTACACGGAACATGAGAGGCCAAAAGAGAATCCTTTGCGAAATCGTTGTTTTGGCTCAAAAATCAGCTACCAAAGGTTCTCTGGTCCATGCTCCCATGCCTCTTGGCGTGCGATCCGCTGGTTTCTCCTCTCTTCCTGCAGGCTCGGCGGCGGAACCGTTGCCTTGCGGAAAACATGGACTGGCTGCTGTGACGCATTCGTTCAATGATTTCCTGGATAAACGGGCGAACCTTCTGAGCAGATTTCATTCAATGACATTGCCTGTGCAATTTGCTGTGCTCAATTCCAAACGGCCTAGTTAATGTGATGCCTGGACATGTCTACATCTTGCAGTACAAACCTCTACAAATCCAAAACAGATCAGTTTCTAGGGCCACTGCACCTGCAGTTGGCTTCTGCAGAATACTATCACCTGTTGCTGCAATGACGTCTGTGTTAACTTGATCGACCACATCTTGAGAGATTCCTCTCCATTCCGTGCCATCTGTTTCTTTGTGGGGAACCATCACTCAAGCAGAAAGGGCCCCCCGCCTACAAAACTGATGCAATGGTTACAAAGCGGAATGGGGAACCCTTTGTGAATCGTTGGCCGGTCATTTCTGGTGGGTAAGTAGCGCGGAAACAACCAGGGTTGCCCATCATGTTCCCACAAAGACCCAGCCCTTCCAGTGCCTCCAACGCTTCCCGGAGACCTCGCAGAATTGCTCCCAGCACGCTTGCACTGTCTCGCGCAGAAAACAACACCTATTTTGGTGGGTTGATGTCAATGGTAAACCCCGTATAGAAGCCCGGCTCAAAAAGAAGGAACAGGAGCATTGGAAAGATAGAGGCCAAATTGTCGTATCGCGCTGGAGTGGCTCAAACCACACCAACCGTCTTGGCATGAGTCAGCAAATTCACGGCGCTGCATGTGTGTTTTTTGGGGAGCTGCCAGTGCGCATTACCTTCAAGGTCTTTGCCAATAGTTGATCAATACCAGCCATTCATCGTGAATCATAATTGTGGGCTACTGGGTAGCCCTACAGCCCTGTCCTGCAAGAGGCAAATGGACAAACAAGTGGCTGAAGGGCTCTTCAGACGGCAAGGGGCCTCCAAAACGAAGATGTCCCTCAACTGGCCAGTTCGGCGGACCTGACATCCCTCAAACCGCTACCTGCTACCCCGGTTTGGAACACCATTTGAGGTGATGGGGACGACTGACAGTGGCGGGAGGGGGGTGCTTTCAAACCCTGGTTCGGGAATTTCCTCAAAATGAGTAACTTAGGTGTTCCATTTAACACACCGGGATTTCACAATTGCCAAATCCGGGTTCTTGGTGGAACAGAGCTAGGCTTCTGACCTGGATGTTGACCTGGATGTTGGCTGCAATTTTGCAGGCAACACCTTGTTTTCAGGGGTCCCTTACTCTTGAGAGGCAAAATCAAAGATATCCGAGATATTTGTTCTGAATGTATCTTCTGAATCGAAACATTAGTGTCTTTCCAAGTCGAGAGGGGTTTCGATCCGAGGCTCCCGGCTACTCTCCGCCTGGCGCCGTTGCTCCAGGGACTTCTTCAGATGCGCCACGTCCCCCCGCAGCAGCTCCCGCTCCTTCTGCAAGGCCTCCTCGGACGCGGGGGCGATCTGAGCAAAACCAGGCGACCTCTAGATCTTGGGAGGTCAATGGTGTGCAATCTCCACCAGGTGTCCAGGGTGTCCACCATGCGTGCAATGTGCCCAATGCTTGCGAATGTCCAATGGACCTTCCAAGTGACCAGGTTGTCTTTTAAAGGGGAGCTGCTTCGGATGTTTTTCCCCTGTGGAGCTGCGCTCTCTTCGCCTTCAGTTGAGACCCTGGCGAGCTGCTGTTGCATCTGGCCGGCCGAGGGAGGATGGCTTGGGTCGAAGAACGCAAGCTCCGACTTTGCGACCAAACCACAGAATTGTAATTCAATTGTAGGTGCTGGGGATGGGTTGAAGCTGCAAGTTCACTTACCTTTGAGGCCACAGAACTGCATGGCTCAAGGCAGTTGCAAATTGCGGACGTTGAGGAAGACGCTACCGGGTCCCAGTCACCGCTTTCACTCGCTGGGCCAATTGCGCATCCGAACTCAGAGCTCTCTGCAAGTTCAGCTCACCGCTTCCCTAAGACACTGCCATGGAACTTTCCTGGGCGTCACCTGGTACCATAGTGAAAACAAACCGCGCTATTGCTTCTGCGGCTGTTGAACAAAACCTGTTGCCATCCGGTCTATTCGCTTGGGGCACTCGAGGAGTTTGGGGACATGACGCCTGTGAGATTCTCACTGATCAACGATGACCTCAGCCTGCGAAAAGCACTTGTCACCTGTTTACCCTTCAAGAAACCATGCAAAACATCCGAAAGAAAACCCCGCTCCCCCCTGCCCCCCCCCCTCCTCCAAATGCACCCCCGCCTCCAAGAAGTCGTCCCGCGGCACCGAGTCGGCCCGGGCCTGGGTAAAGTTGATGCCCAGGGAACGAGGTGAACACCTCATAGATTGCCGTGCTCTTGTGGTCGATGTACTTTTTGATTGTTTGGGAATCGATGAATCAAGTGTAGGATCCTTCTTCCCTTGCTCACCTGAATTTCGGAACTTTGGTGCGACCCTGCGACCAGCTGCAATAAAACAACAACTTAGACGTGCAAGGGAAAATGAGGTGCACCATGCATACGGATGTTCGTTCCAACCATAGAACATGACAAATTGAAAAGTCTCACTTGTTCAGCGATTCAGCACATGTTCCACCAAGCTCATGCTGCACAACAAGCACCAGAACAGCCAGCCTGCGCGCTTGCGACCTCACAGTTCTCTGATTTCCTAAACACTGCAAGTAATCCAACCGCAAACCACGGCGCATTATATTTATATCATACCTTGCTTGGTGTAGCTTGCCCCCTTGCTCTGGGAAAGCCGTCATAATCTTTATGCTGTCAGCCTCAGCTGAGCCAAGGGCTCGTTGCATGCTGGAGCTCAACTGCTCCGCCTCCGGGGCGATTACCCGTCGCAGGGGAGCGATGAGTACTCTCGCGAGTCCAAACATGTCCTGTTGCAACAGGAACCCGCTGCAAGTGGTCAGAACAACCTTTCACAGGCCCCAGTCGCTCTGAAGATTGTGCCCGACTAAAACATGTCAGTGGCGAGTCAAACCTGCTCTGGTGAGTCAAGCCCGCGCTCTGCTCAGTATTGTGTGGCCAAAGGCCACAGCAGGCAAATTGCACATAGCATCTCACCTTCGGGCCTCGGTTGCAAAAGCAGTACCAAAACAAAGGAGTGCCCCTTGACAGCCCGCGAATCTGTCAGCGCCTCCTCTTGCTGCCTTTGGATTTTGGTCTGCGCCTGGCAGGTGCCGCACGTCAAAAACTGACGGGCAGCGCTGCAAGGTGACCATGGCACAAGTGGGAACACCTTGGCGCAAGCCATCCACTTTGCTTCAGGCGCCTGCACGGCTGAAAGTTTGACTCGCAGGCCTCCAGGGTAGGCCCTTGTGTAAGGGTGGAAAACATATGGGCTGGAAAAGAAACCCCGTGGACAACCTTTGTAGCCTTATACCCTAGTATGGGTTAGTGTCGGCTCTTTCCTCTGCATCGGTTTGCAGTGTTTTGGGTCTTGCTCGAAAGTATTGACTTTTCAGCACAAGCGTCGTATACGGCAAAAACATCTGGCAGCTCCAGAACAATTGTAGTACACAAGGTGCAGTTTGGCAGCTCCAGCTGGAAAGTTGCAACTTTTCAGTACAAGTGCATAGTGCAGGAAAACAAAGTACATTTTAGCAGCTCCAGAGCAACTGGTTGGAGCTGGCATGGCGGCTATTGGGTTGGGTATTGGTTGGGCATCGGCTTGGGTATCGGTTTGGGCCCTGCAAATTCTATGATTTCGCAATCTTGGTTTGCGACAACACCTTGGACCTGATATATGTCTTCATGGATTTTACGTGTATCGCTTTCTTTCCTCAGCATCGATTTGCAGTGTTCCGGGCCTGCAAAGAAAGTTACCGGACGGAACGAAAAGGCGCGGGGTTTCTTTTTCAACCCATATGGTGATGCGGACCCAAAAACCACCCATTTGTCGAGATTTTATCCAGGCTGTGTGGTTTCACGTTGGTTCCTTGTAAAGCCATCCCACCCAAATGGCACCCCAGCATCTTGATTTTGCAAAGCAAACACGTTACAGCAACTTGGCGAGTAGGCGAGTAAAATGCCCCTCCCTGACATCAACTTGCCCATAATTGGACAAACCGGCCCCAAACAAAGGCATCCCTGCCCGTTTCACCCTTGGATAACTTTCCGGGAGCCTGGAGCTGATCCCTGTCCTTGTCACCTGTGAAATAAACCGATCGCCGATTGTAAGACTTCCGAATCAAATCAGAATTCACCCAAACCCACAGACCGGCCGTCTCCAGCTGCTGCTTGAGCTTGCGGTTGGCCGCCTGCTCCTCAAAACCGAAAGAGGCGGTGGAAAGTTGAGAGACGGGGTGTCAGAAACTGGGTCCCTTCTGGACAGCTTGGGTTTATGTTGGCACCTGTTCGAACCCGGTTTGACACACCGCCAAATATTGTAGGTAGGCAACCTGGAACTGATTTCCTGGCTGTTTGCTTTCTGTGTCGGGAATAAGCCAAACTAAGAGCCACCATGGCAAGGTGAAGAGCTTGAGCTAGATTCAAGGGAAACCACAGGCTAAGCCCGGCCAACATGCACTGAAGCAGTTGCATCTATCTCGGGAAGAGTCACATGGGCAAAGGACGCCCTTACTAAGCGCCTATTGACTGGGACATCTTTTCTCTGTACCTAGAGTTGCCAGTTGAAAAGTTTACCGGCGTCTTGCCCGTTCCATACCCATCTATTCAAGCTCCTACGCATGCCAGCAATCATGACAAAATTTGGGAGGTTCATAAACTATGATTTGAAATAGAGCCGCCAATCCAAAGTATGAATGTTTGCTAGTGGTATGGAATAAAACACAACACTCATCGCCAGATACTACTTGGTTAGGGGGCCCCGATACTGTGTCACCATGTGCTGAGCTCGAGCTCTGACTGGCAAAATATGCAGTCTTCAATACTGATGAATGCCAATTTTGAACCACACGCGGACACTCAGAGCCTTTGCACAGAGCTGGCATTGATGATGTCCCAATTTGCGGCACTGCTTGGTAAGAAATGAAGCTGACAAACATGCGGCACGCGCAGTCCTCATCCATCTTTGACAGCGCTTCCTCCCTCTCCTGCGCTCAAGGATGATGGATCGACCTTGTCGCGTTTCCCCATGCCGGGCATGTTTGCCGTACTCAGAATGCACTAGCATTCTCAAATATTCGAATGTTCACAGAACTTGAGTCGAGAGGCATGGGGGGCTTGTCTGGCTCGGGCTGGCGCCCGAGGTGCGGATCAATGCGACTCGCTTCAGCAGCTGGTTAGTTTGGTGTATGGGTTAGGACAGCTTCAGTTACTGTTAGCCGGAGAAGTCCTTTCTTGGTCAATGAAGAAGCGTTCTCACTGGGATGGTGGTTGCCGGCCAGCTTAGTAAACGGACAGCGACATCTGTTTTCTTATTACAAGGGAGTTCTGCTGGTGGTGTCAACCAGTTTGTGTACGGACAAGAGCAACAAGTGCTTTTAGTCAGCGGATGTCGGCGGACTGTCCTGCTTCTTTATTGCTTTTCCCCTTGTCTGCCGAGTTGTCCTGCTTCGTTCTTCAGTTCCCCCTTCTTCTCCAATTCCGTGTCTGCCCAGTTACTCTGTCTCATCCTGCGCTCCAATCCCCATTTCCGCTCCCGTGTGTTGCAGTCCTCCTTTCCCTTCGTATCCTGTGATCCTGAGCCCAGGTTTCCTGCTTCTGTCTTTGTTCCGCTTGTCTTTCCAATTCCGTGTCCTTCCTGTCTGTCGTCCTGCTTTCTTTTCCCTCCTGCTTTCCTTCTTTCTTTCTTATCCCGACGGGGATCGACCGAAACCTTGGAACATCGCATGCAAACATCACCATCTGAAACAAAAACCTCAAGAACCTTGGGTGCGGCAATTCACTTTACAGAAGGTTTCCACGCGGGGTTGGGGTTCTAGCCCCGAGCTAGGTAAAAACTGCATCACCAGCATGCGTGTGTGCGCTTGCCCCAACCCCGATGCTAGCAAACGCATGCAGCACAAATTCTTGTTGTAACTGCATGGAAAGGATGAAGGTGAGGGTGGTTGTTGGCAAATGGAAGTTCTTGGAACCCTTCTCGGCTTCTCCGATGTATACCTTGCCTTGGCTCTGGCAGGTGGCTGAATCTCCCTCTCGGAGATGCCCCTGCTTTTTCGGGGGGAGTGGGGAGCGAGAGAGAGTCGCATCAAGGTATATATCTGATCAGCGCAGTAGTGTTGCCACCCAAGCCCCTTTCCTCTTGTAACGTCAGTGTGTTCTTCCCGCGTTGTTTTCTGTGTCTGCCAGCACTGCAGAATCTATTCCACCCCAACCACTACTCGGCTTCTCCGATGTACATCTTGCGTTGGCTCTTGCAAGTGGCTGGATCCTCCTACTCCCCTCGGTGCCTAGAGCCACGTCAAGGTATAAATCGAAGAAGCCCAGAATTTGTTAGGTGTCGAACTGCAAAGACCTTCCATTGGCTTCCCCACGCTCATCACACTCGCCGTTTTGATGGGTCGGAGGGAGACCTGGACGAAGGTTGGCTCGCGTTTCGCGGAGGTGGGCTCAAGGCGTCGGTGACTGAGAAATCACCAGTACCCTGACGCGCCTGCCTGAAGATGTGTCACCAAGGAAGGGGGCGGGGGGGCAGTTGTGTCCTTTTGTGAGGAGGACACAGTACAATATGTGCCCCACGTGTCACCCTGACACAGCAAATGAACATGATTGAATTGGCAGGCTCACCTCAAGCGTGTCCCGCCAGAGCCCTGGAGGCGCAACTGCTTTTTCAGTGATAAAATGAAGGATGCCACAGCCTTCCCAGAACTTGGCTCACTCCTTTCCTGAAGGACCCCGCCCTTTTCATGGTGCCGCAATATGCCGCAATTCTGATTCGTGATTGATGACCAACAATATTCTCCAGCGTGTTGACAAACCCAGAGAAAACTAAGAGAACACTTCATTTGGCCCAGTACGCCTCCCTCATTTGATGATCCCCCTCCTGCTCCAAGCGATTCTGATACGCCTCGGAGTCCTGGGCACAAGTTTTGCGGAGTCCACGCACCTCTCCAATGCTACCTGGCTGCTACCTGAATCCACCCCCCCCATTAGAGAACCCTCCACCCAAAAGAAGCTCGTATCAAACACTTGATTGAGGTTTTGCTGCTGAAGCAGACTTGAGTCTCAAGATCACTTGCGCATGCAGCTTGGTTTCACACGAGGGCCATCAACCAAACAACCACATCGCATGGTTCCTGAGCCTGGAGATCTTCAGAACAAGGCTGAGATCGGCGCCGACAGCGTGCGCAAGGCCTGCCAGATGCTCTCGGGCCTTTTCGACACGTGCTGCTCCAATTTGAGCGATAGTAAGCCATCCCAAGGCTGGAAGCTGTAGGTGTCATGGGCTCACGCCCTCATTCCCCACTGAGATCCATCCAGCAAGCTTAAGAAGAAAAAGCGGTCCTGACCCCCCCCCCCGTGCCCCGCCCAAATGCAAAGTGGAAGGGCGAAGAATCGTTCACAGTTCAACCTGCCTCTGAAACTTCAGTCAAAGTTAAATCCTTGCAGTGGCAAGTAGACGGCAACCAAAGGAAATCACCCAGCGGACGTGCTCGCCCGGAGCCGATTGAGGTCCTTCGACGGGGAGTTGGACTTTAAGGCTCTATGACAAAGTCCCGAGCCCAAACTCTTTTCGCTAGTTGAACCCACGGGTCTCCATAAACTCGCATGCAAAAACAGCGGCACGAAGGGGCTCGTTCTTGCCCGCAGTCACCCCTGTGCTGCTCCAAAGCAAGTCCAAGGTGTTTCCTGAAGCGGGGCACCCCTTGAAAACGTTGTGAAACATCATCAGGACACGGGCAGGGATTACAGCGTGTCTTGTTCAAGGCGCCAACTTGCGCGACTTTTGCAGCTATCTCGTTGAAGGTTCCCCCAGGCCGCTCTGCCTGCCTCGTCCATCTGGCGCCGCATGGAGACGCGCTCCTCACGAGATCAAAGTCTGCCCTGAAGGGAATTAAGAGGAGGCTCTCGAGGCTGGGTTACAAGCAGCTTGGGATAATGATGGGACAATGCGAGCAATTAAGCCAATCTGACAGTCCGCAAGAACCGCACACCTCATGACCATCAATCCCTCGCGCCCGCGTTTTTTTTACTTGCCTTGAGAATGGATCCTCGGCAGATGGCACACAACCTCTCCTGCTTCGCCTGGTCAAGCTGCTGTTGGAGGCTCGTCTTCTCCTGCAAGTCCAATCACCCTCACCAAAACTGCGAGTTCGCAAATTGGTATCCACGGACTCCATGTCTATGGATGACTGAACGGGAGAAAGAGAAGGTGCGGAGGTGCAGAACCTGCAAAACGACTCGTTCCGGTTGAGGCAAGGATCCGGCCAAATAAATAATATGCAGGTGTACAGCACGAGCGACTCTAAGTAGTTACAACTGCAGCACCTCACTTGCCATCATTACAGAATGGTAGCAATGAGCTCTGCCAGCATGCCTCCTCTTCCTTTGTTGCCACATGCTGCAACGTTCCTCATCGAGAAGGGTCCGAATCGACGACTAAACATATCAGTTCAACCGATGACTGATAATGATCTACTGACGCCGGTATGTCCCCCTCTCGTTCCTCGTCACTCGACATCAAACGCAAGTTATTGCTGCATGGCATTTTGACCGTTCTGTCCATCCTGATTCCAGCCGTGTCGTTTTGCACCAGCTTTCACCAAGCGACGGGCGAGCATCTGCTAGTAAAATGTCGTGGCCTTTTCGTTGAACGTATGGGCAGCACGTTGCCAAGACTTGTCAAAGCGACGCACTGCACCAGAACCACTTCTGCAACGTGCACAAGTCGGCACATAAGGCCGTCAACATGTTCGAATCCACCACTTCGTGTGTCTGGAAGCGCCAGTGTGTGGTCCCCCTGCTTTTGACCGCTTTTCACGCAAGCACAATTGCAAATCGCATGAGAAGCTGCTGAGTGATGCAGGGTAAGGCAAAATGGAAACGTGCCGTGCGGACAAATGTTCCAAGTAGAGGGGGCAAACCACCTTATTAAACATGTTTCAAGCACGTCTTCCTTCAAAAGGGACCATGGGTTGGTTGTTGAAACCAGCCCCTTGGGCTATTTCGTTGATGTAACGCATCAACTGCCAGACTGCCCCACTCCCACCTCTCCTGCGCCCTTTGCTCCAGCTGCTGTCGCAGCTCTGATTGGTCCTCAAAGCGTGCAGGTCTGGGTTGCGAATGACCATTGGCGCCAGATTGAATTTCATAGACCACATGCTGTACAGCGATCCCCCCACCCTTAAAAGACTTTCCAGAGACTTGGCAGGACTGGCGGGGGACTGGCGCCTTAACGTCAATTGGTGCCTGGCTCGTGTCCTCGCACATGCCACACAAAACACGGCAAAACTTCAAACGTGACAAAACAAAGGCAGTGCGCCTTTGCGCTCGTCACAAGCTGCCCACCCAAGGCCCTCGAGCAGTAGATTTTGAGATCAGATCTTGGTGACTCCTTGGTGCCTCTTGGGCAGCGGCTGCCGGGCCAGAACTCCTTGTCCGGCCCAGTGCCCCAGAAACAGCTACGCTCAGGACCCACGGAGGAAGAAGGTGAGCGTGATGAGCATGAGGTTGGGCCAAGGGCCATGGATCCCGAGAAACTATTTGGCTTGGTGTTGCAAAGGTCGCTCTCAGGATCATCAGGGCACATAGCGGCTGCCAGCTGCAGTCCGAGGAAAAGCAACACCAGGCTCAGTCTGAAAGCCATCCTACGACGCGAGGACCACTGCGACGCTGCCAGAAGACACAGCGCAACGTGGGCGTCACCGCTTCAACCCAAAAGCGGCAGCCCTTAGATTTTGCTGGCGAACATGACCCGCGCCTCGGCGAACCTCTGCTGCAAGAGCTCGAGCTCCTTGGCATGGCAGTCTGAGAGCCAAACTGAGCGAAGGTGTTGGGCCCTGTGAACAGGGAAATTTCATACACGCATCCCCTGCCAAAAGCTGTTTGGCGTCTTCAACAGATCCGAAAGACTTGTCTGACTGGACCAAAAGCTTGGAAACCGAAAGATCAAAGCGACTGTTGAAAATCTGGGCTGCTAACATGTCCTATGTCGAACTCATCCCCAACTCGAGCCCCCGGCGACCCTGAACCGCGCAAGCACCGAAACTCGGCTCCGCGCGGCACCGCTCTTCCGCTGCACGTCTCGCCGGCTGCGCTCCTGCGAGATGCAGCTTGGCATACCTCTTTGGGCCTTTCGGAACGCGGAACTTGACTCAAACGGATCAGAAGTTGGAACTTCAAACCCCGCTTGCCGCCTTGAGTGACGGAAAAGGCATGACAAAACGCAAGAGCGCAGCCTCTTGAACATTCCGTGGCACGAGCGGCAAGGCCGGGCATGTAAACAAATGCCCAACCTCAACTGTTGCTCCTTCGCTTGCACAACTCGCATCCGTTTACAATGATTCAATACGCAGCGTTCACTATGGCATCCATGGATTTCACTGCTGGAGGTCATACCTGAGCAAGGGCCTTCATTCCATCCTGTTTTAGGGACCAGGACAGGACTTTCATGAGTTATCTGCACAGGCAACAGCTTCCCAGACAATGGTGGACGATGCGCCAGACCCAACAGACCTTGGCCCCACTTCGACAAGCCGCGGAGCCACTTCTTCTGTTTGGCTATGAAGAAATGTACAAATACCGAACGTCTTAATGTCCAGTGGTTAAGGTGGTTTACACTCGACTCGCCACGCCCAGCACTTCCACAACCATCTGATTGTCTAAGGGTTAAAGGTGCAACGTCTGTACCCTGCGGAATTCCTGCGCTTGAGAGCATGGGCTCCTATTGCACACCCATCACCCGTGCTGGGAATGTGCGACCCACCCTTGTCTGGTTCCCCATTTGCAGCAAATTCCTGAATGTTGCAAGTTCCGGGGTTTCCTTCTAGAATTCCATCAAAGAAGGCGCCCATATACACTTAGGAATCCCTCATGTGAATCCCAACTGGGTTTCAACTTATTTTGAGGCACACTCGCATGGGGGTGTCCCAAAACAAGGATCCATTCATGGATGGCTCCCAAGGGGTACCCAAAAGAAGACACCCTAATTTGCGAAAACACATCCGCATTTCGTGATATGTTCCAAACAAGTATGATTCTGCGGTTCCCGCACTCTCAGCGCCCGGGCCTCCTCGATTTTTTTCTGCAAGAGATCCCGCTCCTGAGTCAGACCACCCAGGCTACAGTTTCAGTGTTCTACGTCCAGGAATGCGGAAAGCGATTTGCAAGGATTGACTCCCTGCCGGTAAAACATATCATGCTGAAATTATTCCTTAGTGTAGAGCATGTAATGCTTGGCTTCTTTCCTGGTGCACATTGCCTGTCTTCCTGTGGCTAAAGCTCGGACAAGGGGAGCACCGGCCAAACCCCAGTTCGCCAGAGGGGAAGCTGGCGCCTCTAGCTCAACCAGATCAATGGCATGATTGCGAAACATGGCTACATCACAGCCCAGATCCAGTTCCCCCTGCCAAACGAGACTCACAACATTGGATGGCAAATCGGGCGTATGATGTTAAGTCAAATCCTAAATGAAACCAGCTGGCTGCGGGTCTTCGTTCGGAGGCACCCAAATCCAGAGAGACAAATGGCAGGCCACCTAGGCCTGCGCCAGGTAGACCACGTTGGGCCCTTCTTGTTGTTTTGTTTTGCTGCTTCTTTGTAGACAACCAACAGGAGGTCTCATGCCCGGTGGAAGCTACACCGTAACTCATGAACCTATAGATCAAAGTATCCCAGAAAGCACAACAGGCTGCTTCTTTGAGCAACGCAGACCTGATGCTGATTGGGTCGCTTCACAGGCGGCTCATGAAATGGCGGAGGGGGGGGGAGGCTTTGAGAGGGTTGTGATTGAGGTGGTCATCCACCATTCAATGACAAATCAAACATGTGGAGTATCCCAGGACCGAACAAAGACTCTGCCCTGGGCTGGAGTTCTGCCCATGGCACCACACACAGGCCATGCAACGTAACGCCTCCACAGGCAGAAGAAGTGCGGGGACTAGAGATCAGGAAGGCTGATGTCGGTTTCTGCGGTCAAGGCTGGAACCAAACAACTGAAGGAACTTGATCCAGGCGGAAGCCACCAGCAGTTGAACCCCAACAATACCCGTTCCGTGGCAAAGACTTGGCTCCAATTCGGAGTAAATGCCAATGCTTCAGCCGAAAAGCGATGCGTGAAACCCGGCCGCAGTCCTCCTGCAGAAACCGCTGCTGGGCCTTCTCATCCTCCAGCCGCTGCTGCAGCGTCTCCACCTCCTCGAGGGCAAATACAACTGAAGGTCGCAGGGACCGACTGGGAAGTTAGGAACTTCATGTTGCCATGCCCTAGCCTAGCCCGGGGCGGAGAAGTGTCTTCTGTGAAGCAAAGGTGGCTCTCGCTTCGTGGCTACAGGCTAAGACGCCAGCAGAGCCGAAGTCGCCCTGGAGTTGCCGAGTTTTTCTCCTCTCCTGGCCGAGAGTCGAAAGCAGACCGCAACTCCCCCAACCCTCCAAAGCACTTCTCAAAGATCCAACTCATGGGACATATCAGTGGCATATCTGCTTGAGGTCGGAGATTTCCAAGCAGCTTAAACAAAAGTGCTGCGTTGTGCTTTCTGACGGCCTCTCAATGATAGGCGGGGGGTCACAGTTCATGACAATCGCAATGTTGTAGCGGACTGTGGAATCCGGCACCATTTCGTCTGTGTAGAACATCCAACCGCGTCGAAGCATACATCATCATAGATGGATGCAGTGCTGAACGCTATGCGAACCCGACGCATGGAGCCCTAGCAGGAAACTAAAATGCTCCGAAGTTCGGACAGGGACGGCCTCTTCGAGCGCCTGTCGTTGGGCCGCCTTTTCCTGCAGGGACGGAAGAGGGAGCCAAGAACCTCACAGCATCCCGCATTGGAGTTATGTTTCAACATAAACCTTTGTTACCTAGAACAACTTAGTGGCAACAAGGCACCTGCAAACGGAATGGGAGCTTGTGCTTGGTGCTTTTTGAGGCGCGCAAGCACAGCTGCATGGCAGAACACACGCTGTCCTCCTGCAAAGCCTTTCTTGCAGATGCAAGGTCCTGGGGGTAGCTTGGGCTTCCCTATGAAAAAGAGCCTGCGCAACCCACTGTAGGTTAGGTGAATCTGCTTGGGCCATACTCAGAACATTTGAGCCATGGTGTGTGGCTGAACACTATTGGAAGCGGCCTCACATCCTGCCCTGAGCATGGGCCTAGCATTAACCCTCACTGGAAGGGCCTAGACCTCCAAAACGGGATACTCCGGAGGCAAGAAATCCACAGGGCAGCCCATCAAACTTCCAAATGCGGGTGGCTTGTCAAAACCTGTCGGCGATCAAGGACTACCGGGAGCCCTCATGCTCGCACATGTTCGCAGGGTTTGTTGAGGCCAACATATAGACTGTGGTACTCTTCCCCACTTCCAGACAATACTCGTGTGCAGTCCCAAACCTGAAAACATCGTCGCCGTGTTCCACTGTTGTTTTGGAGTCCCAACTTCATGGGTATGAAACCAATACTGAATACCGAGCCAGTATGAAGCCGGTTCTCATTTGATACTAACTAAGCCAATCTAAGCAAGGCAATGCTGGAGCAATCGGATGTCAAATCGATTGCCATACAAATCCTAAATACATATGCTTGAATTATGATGCTTGAAGTCGCTTCTCGGAATTGCTGCTTTTCAACGATATTCGGCCAGGAAAGGACGGACCACATTTGGGCGAAGAGCGAGCACGATCCAGCAGGACCAAAGCTCCAAGAACCTAACAGGGCCCCAATGTATGCGTTTTCGATAGAGGCTTATTGCTTGGGGGGAAGGGATTCCTTGAGCGCTTGCTTTGCTGATTGTAAAATTACCTTGCACCCCCCGCATTCCAAAGGGGCGTGCCCCGGATTCATGGTTGGAACTATATTTCCTGCGAAACGATGAGAATAACAAGGATATCAGAGCCTGTACAGGTGCCCCAAAGCTGCCAAGGGCACTCTGCGTGAAGAGAGGCGATATTTGAACTGTATCTGCCAAAATGAATTTTGCAGACTACACATTGCATGTACTGAAGAGTCGCGACTTCCGCGCTGGAGCTGGATCGGCCAATGTACTTCATATACTACTCGCTGTTGACTTGCGACTTGCAAGCTGGAGCTGGCGTTGGAGCTCTTAAAGCGATCTAAAGCGTAATTTGCGGCTGCACGTTTTCTGAAAACAAAACTTTTTAGCTGACATTCAAGCGGGAGCTGAATATTTCTGATGTTCACGCTGAAGCTGCAAAAGTCATCCGAAACGTGTTTCGCATTCTACATTTCTTTGGAGCTGCAAACGCAATTGTACCGATGAGCTGCCAATTATGCTCCCGGTTGGATGTCATTGACAACACAATGAAAGTTCTAACACAAATGATGAGGCTTTGGTGTGGGTAGATATCAAACCAGCAATCTCACCCGCCACTTCAGGCATATCTTGACTGTGGCGGCCTGCACAGGCAGGAACTAAGTGAAGCTCAAACAACAACATCTCCTCCAGTTTCAAGGGCTGCCTCTGGGTCTGTACCTAATCGCGTGTCTGTGTGTGAATAGTGGTACATATGATTAGCTTACAAGAGGTATCCCCTTTTGGTCCTTTTGCTGCCAATTCGACTATGGCGAGACTGGGCCGGCTGGCCGACTCCAGCTGCTGCTGCAGGTTCACATGCAGGGTGCGCTCCTGGCGGTTATGCTGGGACAGCGGAGGTTCGGGACATCCTAAGCATCCATTCTAAGGATCATCCTCGATGGTCCACGTTACGCTGCTACACTATTGGTCTTCGGACAGGTGATTCCCCACTTCATAAGATTCTTGTCCTACCAAAACCCGGCCCTCAACGTTCCCAAGACATGGGTATTCGTGGAGCAGGGTGTGCTCTTAGAGAATTGCTCCCGCAGAGGCGGATCCCCCAATCAACCAACGACCAAGGTGGTCCATCTTTTGGCACGAGCTTTGGTTCTACAAGCATGGCCATCGATTTCTGTGCACACGCTGACGCGCTAATACCGTTTGAAGCGTGAATCATAATCCTCCTTGGGCGTGGAAGAAAATTACCTTCCAAAGCAGCCCCCTTATTATCGTGAGCACGGCCTCCTCAAGAGTCTGCTGCATCCCATGCTGCTCCTGCCCGAATGTGCGCCGAACTGCGCCGTGGAATATTTGTAACCAGAGGACAGGGTTGACAGGGAGCCTTTCGACCTCCTTGAGAGCTGGTACCGAATAGCACCAGCCCAAGGGGCACTGTGTTTGATAATGGCGAGGCGGTTAAAGCCAGTCGTTGTTCTTGAGTGCCCAAGAAAACCACATAGATGGAGCCATTGCAGCAACGTAAAGGGCCCAGGGAGTTGTTCAACCCCATGTGGCTATGCTGGACCCCTGCACACGTTCGCGTTTTGGCCTAAAACAGTGCCATCAAACAAACATGCCAAAGCTCATGGGGTCGCCGGTTCCGCAAAACTGGCGTTGCCTCGCCCAACTTCTGCCGGCTTTGGCGTTCCTGTCGCGAGGCGAGGCAATGAGGCACTTCACTTCACCCCAAAGCCTGCCGGAGTTCCAAGGAATTATGATGCGGCTGCCACTCTCTCAGTTCCCGGGCCTCCTCCAGTTTTCTCTGTAAGAGATCCCGCTCCTGAGTCGGACTACCGTGTCAGTCTGCTTGCGGCCAGAAACACGAGGTGCGATTTGCAAGGATTGACTCCCTGCCGGTAAAAACATACTATGCCTAGCTGCTCAATTACCTTGTTTCCTGGTGCACATTGTCTGTCTTCCTGCGGCTAAAGCTCAAACCCAGTTCACCAAAGGGGAAGCTGGCACCTCTGGAACGTGGCTACCCACATCACAAGCCCAGATCCAAAATAAAATCACAACACTGAATGGCAAATCGGGCAAAACCCTCTGCAGGTGTTGATGTTAACTGACCTCCCAAAGAACAAAGCTGGCTGTGGGCTCTCCCTTCTCAGGAGGCCCTGCGCCTGGCAGGCCCCGTTTAGGCCCTTCTTGTCACTGTATTGTGTTACTTCTTTGTTGAGGTCTCATGCCCGGTGGAAGTTGCACCGGGGAGCCGCGAAGCTCTCCGGAAAGCACAGCACAGGTGCAACTGGCAGCATCTCGGAGCAACGCAGACTTGATGCTGATTGGGTCGCTTCACAGGCGGCTCATGAAATGGCGGAGGGGAGGGAGGCTTTGAGAGGGTTGTGATTGAGGTGGTCATCCACCATTCAATGTATCCCAGGACCGAACAAAGACTCTGCCCTGGGCTGGAGTTCTGCCCATGGCACCACACACAGGCCATGCAACGTAACGCCTCCACAGGCGGAAGAAGTGCGGGGACTAGAGATCAGGAAGGCTGATGTCGGTTTCTGCGGTCAAGGCTGGAACCAAACAACTGAAGGAACTTGATCCAGGCGGAAGCCACCAGCAGTTGAACCCCAACAATACCCGTTCCGTGGCAAAGACTTGGCTCCAATTCGGAGTAAATGCCAATGCTTCAGCCGAAAAGCGATGCGTGAAACCCGGCCGCAGTCCTCCTGCAGAAACCGCTGCTGGGCCTTCTCATCCTCCAGCCGCTGCTGCAGCGTCTCCACCTCCTCGAGGGCACATACAACTGAAGGTCGCAGTGTGCCAATGGGGGCGGGGAGGCCTTAGGGCTTGTCTTCTGTGAAGCAAAGGTGGCGCTCGCTTCGTCGCTGCGGACTAAGACGCCAGCAGAGCCGAAGTCGCCCTGGAGTTGCCGAGTTTTTCTCCTCTCCTAGCCGAGAGTTGAAAGCAGACCGCAACTCCCCCAACCCTCCAAAGCACTTCTGGAAGATCCAACTCATGGGACATATCAGTGGCATATCTGCTTGAGGTTGGAGATTTGCCCCGTGCAGGTCTGAGTCTGTGTGAATGTCTATTTCCAAGCAGCTTGAACAAAAGTGCTGCGTTGTGCTTTCTGACGGCCTCTCAATGATAGGCGAGGGGTCACAGTTCATGGCAATCGCAATGGTGTGGCGGACTGTGGAATCCGGCACCAGTTCGTCTGTGTAGAACATCCAACCGCGTCGAAGCATACATCATCATAGATGGATGCAGTGCTGAACGCTATGCAAACCCGGCGCAGGGAGCCCTAGCAGGAAACTAAAATGCTCTGCACTTCGGACAGGGACGGCCTCTTCGAGCGCCTGTCGTTGGGCCACCTTTTCCTGCAGGGACGGAACAGGAATCTGAGGACCTCACAGCAATCCGCATTGGAGTTGTGCTCCAAGATACAACTATGTACCTAGCCCCATGTCGGGAGGTTCCCTCCTTAGTGGCAACAAGGTGCTTGCAAACAGAATGGGAGCTTGTGCTTCGTGCTGTTTGAGGCGGTGCATGGCAGAACACACGCTGTCCTCCTGCAAAGCCTTCCTTGCAGACGCAAGGTCCTGGGGCAGCTTGGGCTTCCCTATGAAAAGGAACCGTAGGTTAGGTGAATCTGCTTGAGCCATATTCAGAACATTTGAGCCCCAAGTGCTTCAACCGTGCGCTTCTTACTGGAAACATGGAAGGGGCCCTTGGGTATGCGAGACACCCACAGGCCAGCCTATCAAACCCTTTTCCTCAAAACCTGTCGGCGATCAGGACTACCGGGAGCCCTCACGCTCACACATGTTCGCAGGGTTTGTTGAGGCCATCATATCGACTGTGGTACTCTTGCCGCCTTCCAATACTCGTGAGCAGTCACCAAGCTTTAAACCATCGTCCCCGATCTCCACTGTCGTTATGGAGTCCCAAAATCATGCGTCTTCAACGAATACTGCATGCCGAGCCAAAGTTCTCGAAGGATACTAATTAAGCCAACCCCAACAAAGGCAATGCTAAACCAAGCTGACGTCAATTTGACTGCCGTACAAAATCCGAAACATATGCTTGAATTGTGATTGAAGTCGCTTCTCGGAAATTGCTGGCTTCAATGATGTTCGGCCAGGCATGAGGGACCCCATTTGAGCACCACGATCCAACAGGCCAAAGCTCCAAAACCCGAACAGGGCACGGATGTATGCGTTTTGTGGGGAGGGGAGATATTGTTTGGGAGGAAGGGAGCCCAGACTCTTGCTTTGCTGATTAATTCTGCATGCTTTGGCAATGCACAGAAAGTTCTAACACAAATGATGAGGCTTGGGAGTGGGTAGATCCGCCACTTCAAGCATATCTGGACTGTGGCGTCCTGCACAGTCAGAAACTGAGTGAACTTAAACAACATCTCCTCCAGTTTCAAGTGCTAGCTCTGGGTCTGTACCTAACCGCATGTCTGTGTATGAATATAGCTTACAAACGGTATCCCCTTTGAGATATGCCAATTCGACTATGGTGAGACTGGGCCGGCTGGCCGACTCCAGCTGCTGCTGCAGGTTCACATGCAGGGTGCGCTCCTGGCGGTTTTGCTGGGACAGCGGAGAATCGGGACATCCTAAGCATCCCTTCTAAGGATCGTCCTCGATTGTCCACGTTTCGCTGTTACACGATTGTTCTTCGGACAAGTGATTCCCCACTTTATAAGATTCTTGTCCTACAAAAGCCAGGCCTCCCTCAATGTTCCCAAGACATGGGTATTTGCGGAGCAGGGTGTGCTCTTAGAGAATTGCTGGTGCAGAGGCGGGTCCCCAATCAACCAACAACTAAGGTGGTCCATCTTTTGGCACGAGCTTTGGTTCTACAAACATGGCCGTCGATTTCTATGCACACGCAGACGCGCGAATACGGTTTTAATCCTGAACAATCATAATTATTCCTTGGGCGTGGAAGAAAACAACCCTCCAAAACAACCCCCTTTGTGGCGTGAGCACGGCCTCCTCGAGAGTCTGCTGCATCCCATACTGCTCCTGCCCGAATGTGCGCCGTGCACTGCAGACTATTTGTCGCCAAACGAACACCAGCCCAAAAAGGGCGCTGTGTTTGAGGACGGCGGGTTGGTCAAGACCATGTTGTTCTTCGTGAGAGACTTGGGAAACCACATAGAGGCACCCATTGCTTGCGAGGTGTGCACTTTGAAGGCTCGTTTCCGGCAACGTAAGGAGTTAGTCTCCAGTTGTTCAACCCCGTGTATGGTTGGAAAAAGACTTGTTTCTCCACCCGCACAACCCCCATGTAGTCCTAAAAAGGCGTGGTGCGATCAGCCCACGGGTTCGCCGGTTCTGCAAAGCTCCGGCTGCCTCGCCCAACTTCTGCCGGCTTTGGCGTTCCTGTCGCGAGGCGGTGCTCTGAGGCACTTCGCTTCCCACACCCCAAAGCCTGTTGTTGGAGTCCGTTGATACTTTCGAAGCCCGACACCGGAAAAGACCGGATTTTGTATGTTAGTGTTGGTTTGGTATTGAAAAGTATTGGTTTAGTTCAGTAAAAGTTAAGTTTAGACTTGCCAAGGCTTGGGATGGTGCTTTTTCTCACCCCCGGATGGGCAACCACAGTGCATCCCCCTGAAAAAACATGTTGCGAATTCCCCCCCCCCCCCCCCGGTTGCTTTTCAGGGTGACCTGGGAAATGACAACTTGCTTGAATTACCTCCGTTGCAAGTTCAGGTGTTCCTTCTAGAATTCACTCAAAGAGGGCGTCCATATGCAGTTAGGCATCCCTCATGTGAATTCCACCTGGATCATATTGGGGGGTGTCCCAAAACTGGGACCCATTCATGGATGGCCTTCAGGTCTTAAATAAAAGAAGACACACCAACTTTAGGGCCATTTTAGGAAAACGCGTCATTTCATGAGATGTTCCAAACGATGCGGTGCCCGCACTCTCTCGGGCCTCCTCCAGCTTTCTCTGCAAGAGATCCCGCTCCTGAGTCAGGTCGTTTCAGTCGACGGCCAGTGCGGCCAGCAATTTGCCATTGACTCGTCTGTACAACTCACTATGCCTAGCTCAAATACCTTGTTTCCTGGTGCACGTTGTCTGTCCTGCGGCCAAAGCTCAAACCCAGTTCACAAAAGGGAAGCTGGCTACCCACATCACAAGCCCAGATCCAGTTTTCACCCAGAAGAGAATCACGGCAAATCGGGCAACATGTTTATGAATTTATGAATGTTACCTGAAATCCCAAAGGAACCAGCTGGCTGCGGGTCTTTCTTAGGAGGCACCCAAATCCAGAGAGACAAATGCCAGGACCCCCTAGGCCTGCGTCAGGTAGACCGCATCAGGCTCTTCTTGTCATTTTTGTTTTGTTGCTTCTTTGTTGAGGTCTCATGCTCGATGGAAGTTACACCGGGAAGCTCTCCGGAAAGCACAACACCGGCGCGCTGCTTTTTGAGCAACGCAGGCTTGATGGGTCGCGTCAGAAGCAGTTCATGACATGGAGAAGGGGCGGGGGCCTTTGACAGGGTTGTGATTCAGGTGGTCATCCACCGTTCAATGACAAACCAAGCATGTAGAGTGCCCCAGAAAGTGCACTGCACAGAGGCCAGGCAATGCAACGCCTTCACAGCCGAACATGCGTGTGTGAGGGGACTCCAGATCAGCAAGCATGATGTCGGCTGACCAACTGAGGGAACTTGATCAAGGCCGAAGCCTCCAGCAGTTTGCTTTTTTTTGATTTATTAAAAAAAAAAAAAAAAAAAAAAAACGCGGAAGCCGAAGCCATGAAGCCCGCAGTCCTCCTGCAAAAGCCGCTGCTGGGCCTTCTCATCCTCCAGCCGCTGCTGCAGCGTCTCCACCTCCTCAGCGGAAGATACGACTGAAGGTCTTAGGGCTTGTCTTCTGCAAAGCAAAGGTGATGCCTGACGTCTCTTGTTCTTGCACAGACTAAGACGCCAGCAGAGCTGAAGTCTCCCTGGAGTTGCCGAGTTTTCCTCCTCTCCTGGCCGAGAGTCGAAAGGAGACCGCAACTCCCCCAACCCTCCAAAGCGCTTCTCGAAGATTCAACTCATGGGACATATCAGTGACATATCTGCTTGAGTTTGGAGATTTACCCCGTAAAATTCGACCACAGAATCTCCGTTGTGCAATTGGTGCTGGGGAGACAAAAAGGGACAGGCGATAGAGCTCAACAGGCAAACCGTACATTTGAGCCCAAACCGTACATTTGAGAGGCATGGCCCGCTAGCACGGTGCCATGTCTGAGAGTATCTTGTGAACCTTACACGGGGTCGAGGGCATAGCACCCTCGAAATAGATCCTGACAAGGTTGTACTCTAAACAATAAATTGAGTCAGGCGAGAATGTCTATTTACAAGCCTGGACCCCCAAACGAGCCAAATTTCCGCTCGAGGGAAAATGTGCTCGTTTCTCCCAAAAGCGCTCGTTTAGGCAAAATGCGCTCGAGGCCAAATAAGTGCTCGAGTGAGCGCCCTTGCTTGCGCATCATTGCATGTTGGAGACGCCAAACCTCACACCAACCCATCAAGCATGTCTCAATATGTCACATGTCTGCACAGTGGCCAGCGCATATTCATTTTCGAGCACCTGGATATCTTTGCGTGCTTTTGGCCGCGGGACAACGGACCCGCTGACATTTTTTAAATTGCGCTCGGTTGCGGGAAATTGCGCTCGAGTTGCAGGAAATTGCGCTCGAGGTTGCGGGTTGCAAACTGCCCCCAAACTGCCAAAATGCCCCAAACATGTGCAGGTTTATTAGGCTTCCAACACGCGTTTGTTGCCCGAACAGCACAGCTCGACACCCCCTGTTACACGGAGAGTGTGGGCCCTGGCAGCACAACTCACACACTCCAAAGCATCCAAATGCCAAGGAAGTAGATTTCTGCTCGAATTGCATCTGTTTCCTAAAAAGTTATCGAATAAGAAAAAGTGCTCGTATGAGCAAAAGCAGCTCGAAAGAAGGGTTTGTCACAAATTTGTGCTCGTTTGGGGGTTCAGGAGTAGCTTAAACAAAAAGTGTTGCGTTGCGCTTTCTGACGGCCTCTCAATGATGGGCGAGGTGTCACAGTTCATGGCAATCGCAATGTTGTGGCGGACTGTGGAATCCGGCACCAGTTCGTCTGTGTGGAACATCCAACCGCGTCGAAGCATACATCATCATAGATGGATGCAGTGCTGAACGCTATGCAAACCCGGCGCAGGGAGCCCTAGCAGGAAACTAAAATGCTCTGCACTTCGGACAGGGACGGCCTCTTCGAGCGCCTGTCGTTGGGCCACCTTTTCCTGCAGGGACGGAACAGGAATCTGAGGACCTCACAGCAATCCGCATTGGAGTTGTGCTCCAAGACACAACTATGTACCTAGCCCCATGTCGGGAGAGCTTGTGCTTGGTGCTGTTTGAGGCGCGGAAGCTCAGCTGCATGGCAGAACACACGCTGTCCTCCTGCAAAGCCTTCCTTGCAGACGCAAGGTCCTGGGGCAGCTTGGGCTTCCCTATGAAGCGCCATATTGAGAACATTTGAACCACAAGTGCTTCCGGGAGCCCTCATGCTCACACATGTTCGCAGGGTTTGTTGAGGCCAACATATTGACTGTGGTACTCTACCCGCCTTCCAGACAATTCTCGTGAGCAGTCACCAAGCCTTAAACCATCGTCCCCGATCCCCGCTGTCGTTATGGAGTCCCAACTTCATTCGTATCAAACGAATACTGCATGCCAAGCCAAAGTTCTCAAAGGATACCAATTAAGCCAACCCTAACAAAGGCAAAGCAAGCTGACGTCAATTTGAATGGCATGCAAACTCCCACACCTTTGCCTGAATTATGATGCTTGAAGTCGCTTCTCGGAAACTGCTGTTTTCAATGATGTTTGGCCCGAAAAGGAACGGCCTCATTTGAACGAAGAGCAATCATGATCCGAATGCTCCTAACAAAAATGATGTGGCGGCCTGCAATCTTCAACAACATCTCCTCCAGTTTCAAGGGCTGCCTCTGCCTGTACCTAATCGCGTGTCTGTGTGAATATCTGTACATATCAATAGCCTACAAAAGGTAACCCTTTCAGATATGCCAATTCGAATATGGCGAGGCCGGGCCGGCTGGCCGACTCTAGCTGCTGCTGCAGGTTCACGTGCAGGGTGCGCTCCTGGCGGTTTTGCTGGGACAGCGGGGGTTCGGGACATCCAAAGCATCCCTTCTAAGGATCATCCTCCATTGTCCACGTTACGCTGCTACACTATTGTTCTTGGGGCAAGCGATTCCCACTTCAGTCTTGTCCTACCAAAACCAGGCCCCAGGCCTCCCTCAATGGTCCCTAGACATGGGTATTTGCGGAGCAAGGAGTGCTCTTAGAGAATTGCCGGTGCAGAGGCGGGTCCCCAATCAACCAACGACTAGGTGGTCCATCTTTTGGCACGAGCTTTGGTTCTACAAACATGGCCGTCGACTTCTATGCACATGCAGACGCGCTAATACCGTTTTAATCCTGAACAATCATAATTATTCCTTGGGCGTGGAAGAAAACAACCCTCCAAAACAGCCCCCTTTTTGGCGTGGGCACGGCCTCCTCGAGAGTCTGCTGCATCCCATACTGCTCCTGCCCGAATGTGCGCCGTGCACTGCAGACTATTTGTCGCCAAACGAACACCAGCCCAAAAAGGGCGCTGTGTTTGAGGACGGCGGGTTGGTCAAGACCATGTTGTTCTTCTTGAGAGACTTGGGAAACCACATAGAGGCACCCATTGCTTGCGAGGTGTGCACTTTGAAGGCTCCTTTGCGGCAACGTAAGGGACTCAGGGAGTTAGTCTCCAGTTGTTCAACCCCGTGTATGGTTGGAAAAAGACTTGTTTCTCCACCCGCACAACCCCCATGGAGTAGTCCTAAAAAGGCGTGGTGCGATCAGCCCACAGGTTCGCCGGTTCTGCAAAACTCGGGCTGCCTCGCCCAACTTCTGCCGGCTTTGGCGTTCCTGTCGCGAGGCGGTGCTCTGAGGCACTTTGCTTCCCACACCCCAAAGCCTGTTGTTGGAGTCCGTTGATACTTTCGAAGCCCGACACCGGAAAAGACCGGATTTTGCTGGTGGGCTTGTTTTGGACGTAGCAAGTGCCCCAAACTTGCTGGGTTTGCGAACGCCTGGTTGGGGCGAAAAAGGATAATCAAAGACTTCAGCAAAACGTGTCAGAAGGTCTCGAACGGATTTGCTTTCATTCCTGAACCCTGCGAACCCTTCCAGAAGCAAACTCTAAATCTCGCGGCGCCCAGACCGAATGGCCAGCAAAGCTCCACGCACCTCCCGTGCCCTGCTACTCGGAAATAATCCACGACGATGATTTCAGTGGCCGGAGCCCGGTAATAAAGTTACAGTATCCCATAGCTGTAACAAAAAGTGAGATGTACCCAATTGGCCAAGACAAAGCTGCGCAAGGTTCGAGTCCGCGAAAGAACGTGCCACGGCTGCACCCTGTCAGTTGAAACCACTGCAACTCCTTGCAAGCTTGAGAGTATGGGCATGTATGGGCTCCTAGTAAAGTTTGTTTCTTCTGCTTCCGCCCCTTAAACATTTGTTATGTTTTCAACTGTTTGGGGCTTCCCTGGACAACCCCATTGAAAATATGTCTCAGCGGGTGTTTTCAGCAATTGTCTCACAAAGAATTCAAAGGGTTTTGCTGGCCAAGGATTAGCTCAGTATTGTTGTAGTAGTTTCTGTTGGTTTAGTAATAAAAAGTATTGGTTTAGTTCAGTATAAGTTTAGACTTGCCAAGGCTTGGGATGGTGCTTTTTCTCACCCCCGGATGGGCAACCACAGTGGATCCCCCTGAAAAAACATGTTGTGAACTCCCCCCCATTGCTTTTCAGAGCGGGAATGACAACTTGCTTGAATTACCTCCGCTATCCGGCATTACGCACCCATCACCCTCTGTTTTTCTTTGTAGCCCATGCGCAGCCATTTCCTGAATGTTGCAAGTTCAGGTGTTCCTTCTAGAATTCACTCAAAGAGGGCGTCCATATGCAGTTAGGCATCCCTCATGTGAATTCCACCTGGATCATATTGGGGGGTGTCCCAAAACTGGGACCCATTCATGGATGGCCTTCAGGTCTTCAATAAAAGAAGACACACCAACTTTAGGGCCATTTTAGGAAAACACGTCATTTCATGAGATGTTCCAAACGATGCGGTGCCCGCACTCTCTCGGGCCTCCTCCAGCTTTCTCTGCAAGAGATCCCGCTCCTGAGTCAGGTCGTTTCAGTCGACGGCCAGTGCGGCCAGCAATTTGCCATTGACTCGTCTGTACAACTCACTATGCCTAGCTCAAATACCTTGTTTCCTGGTGCACGTTGTCTGTCCTGCGGCCAAAGCTCAAACCCAGTTCACAAAAGGGAAGCTGGCTACCCACATCACAAGCCCAGATCCAGTTTTCACCCAGAAGAGAATCACGGCAAATCGGGCAACATGTTTATGAATTTATGAATGTTACCTGAAATCCCAAAGGAACCAGCTGGCTGCGGGTCTTTCTTAGGAGGCACCCAAATCCAGAGAGACAAATGCCAGGACCCCCTAGGCCTGCGTCAGGTAGACCGCATCAGGCTCTTCTTGTCATTTTGTTTTGTTGCTTCTTTGTTGAGGTCTCATGCTCGATGGAAGTTACACCGGGAAGCTCTCCGGAAAGCACAACACCGGCGCGCTGCTTTTTGAGCAACGCAGGCTTGATGGGTCGCGTCAGAAGCAGTTCATGACATGGAGAAGGGGCGGGGGCCTTTGACAGGGTTGTGATTCAGGTGGTCATCCACCGTTCAATGACAAACCAAGCATGTAGAGTGCCCCAGAAAGTGCACTGCACAGAGGCCAGGCAATGCAACGCCTTCACAGCCGAACATGCGTGTGTGAGGGGACTCCAGATCAGCAAGCATGATGTCGGCTGACCAACTGAGGGAACTTGATCAAGGCCGAAGCCTCCAGCAGTTTGCTTTATTATGATAATAATAAAAAAGCGGAAGCCGAAGCCATGAAGCCCGCAGTCCTCCTGCAAAAGCCGCTGCTGGGCCTTCTCATCCTCCAGCCGCTGCTGCAGCGTCTCCACCTCCTCAGCGGAAGATACGACTGAAGGTCGCAGGGACACACGGGAAGTTGGGAACTTCATGTTGCCATGCCCCAGCCTAGCCAGGGGCGGAGAAGTGTCTTCTGTGAAGCAAAGGTGGCTCTCGCTTCGTCGCTACAGGCTAAGACGCCAGCAGAGCCGAAGTCGCCCTGGAGTTGCCGAGTTTTTCTCCTCTCCTGGTTGAGAGTCGAAAGCAGACCGCAACTCCCCCAACCCTCCAAAGCACTTCTTGAAGATCAAGCTTATGGGACATATCAGTGGCATATCTGCTTGAGGTTGGAGATTTGCCGTGGAGGTCGACCACGGAATCTTCATGCAACATTGGCGACAGGGACACAAAAGGGACAAGCCATAGCTCTCACTCAACAGCTCATGAGCCCAAACCGTACACTTGAGTGAATAGCCCTGAGTGAATGTCTATTTCCAAGCAGCTTAAACAAAGGCTACGTAGTGCTTTCTGACGGCCTCTCAATGATAGGCGAGGGGTCACAGTTCATGGCAATCGCAATGGTGTGGCGGACTGTGGAATCCGGCACCAGTTCGTCTGTGTAGAACTTCCAACCGCATCGAAGCATGCATGACCATAGATGGTTGCAGTGAACTCTGTCCAAACCCGGTGCAAGGGACAGGGACGGCCTCTTCGAGCGCCTGTCGTTGGGCCGCCTTTTCCTTGCAGGGACGGAAGAGGGAGGTGAGGACCTCACAGCAACCCACATTGTAGTTATGTGTGAAAATAGGCCTTTACACATCTGCGTGGCAGAACGCACGCTGTCCTCCTGCAAAGCCTTCCTTGCAGACGCAAGGTCCTGGGCGAAGCTTGGGCTTCCCCATGAACAAAAAGCCTGCGCCATATTCAGAACATTTGAACCAAAAGTGCTCACACATGTTCGAAGGGTTTGTTGAGGCCAACATATTGACTGTGGTACTCTACCCGCCTTCCAAACAATTCTCGTGAGCAGTCACCAAGCCTTAAACCATCGTCCCCCCCGTCCCCGATCCCCGCTGTCGTTATGGAGTTCCAACTTCATTCGTAGCAAACGAATACTGCATGCCAAGCCACAGTTCTCGAAGGATACCAATTAAGTCAACCCTAACAAAGGCAAAGCTAAACCAAGCTGACGTCAATTTGAATGACATACAAATCCTAAATATAAGCTTGAATTGTGATTGAAGCTGATTCAGCAATGTTCGGCCAGGAAGGAGGCACCCTTGAGCGAAGAGCGAACACGATGCAACAGGACCAAAGCTCCAAACCCCGAACGGGGCCCCAATGTATGTGTTTGTGGGAGGCTTTTGTTGGGGGGAAGGGATTCCTTGATCTCTCTTTCGTCTTTGATTGATGATGGATGGTTTAGGCAATGCACAGAATGGTCCTAAGAAAAATGATGAGGCTTTCGTGTAGGCAGATATCAAACCAGCAATCTCAACCGCCAATTCCGGCTTCTCTTGACTGGGGCGGCCTGCAGATCTTCAACATCTCCTCCAGTTTCAAGGGCTGCCTCTGGGTCCGTACCTAACCGCATGTCTGTGTATGAATATATATATATATATATGCATAGCTATAGCTTACAAAAGGTATCCCCTTTCAGATATGCCAATTCGACTATGGTGAGACTGGGCCGGCTGGCCGACTCCAGTTGCTGCTGCAGGTTCACGTGCAGGGTGCGCTCCTGGCGGTTTTGCTGGGACGGCGGAGAATCGGGACATCCTAAGCATCCCTTCTAAGGATCATCCTCCATTGTCCACGTTTCGCTGCTACACGATTGTTCTTTGGACAGGTGATTCTTCACTTCATAAGATTCTTGTCCTACAAAAGCCAGGCCTCCCTCAATGTTCCCAAGACATGGGTGTTTGCGGAGCAGGGTGTGCTCTCAGAGAATTGCCGGTGCAGAGGCGGATCCCCAATCAACCAACGACCAAGGTGGTCCGTCTTTTGGCACGAGCCTTGGTTCTACAAGCATGGCCGTCGAATTCTGTGCACACGCTGACGTGCTAATACCGCTTTAAGCCAGAACAATCATAATCCTCCTTGGGCGTGGGAGAAAAGAACCCTCCAAAGCGGCCCCCTTTTTAGCGTGAGCACGGCCTCCTCAAGAGTCTGTTGCATCCCATGCTGCTCCTGCCCGAATGTGCGCCGTGCACTGCAGAATATTTGTCGCCAAGCGAACACCAGCCCAAAGGGGGCGCCGTGTTTGACAATGGCGGGTTGCTCCAGACCAGTCGTTGTTCTTGAGTGACCAGGGAAACCACATAGACGGAGCCATTGCTTGTTCAACCCCGATCGTAAAAGACTTGTTTCTCCACCGGGGCAGTCGCAGGTTAATACTGCAAGTCAACAAGGTCCTGTTCAACTACCTGAGCCCCTTCGCGCATCTACATTGACCCCATGCACTAGTGCGATCAGCCCATGGGTTTGCCGGTTCCACAAAACTGGCACTGCCTCGCCCATCTTCTGCCGGCTTTGGCGTTCCTGTCGCGAGGCGGTGCTCTGAGGACCTTCGCTTCCAACTAAGCTGAGACAAGCAAGGCACAGTAGACACCTGAAAATGAGAATTGCCAAAGCTGGGTTGGGAACTCCGGCCTGCGAATTGAAAATGAGAATCAAAGATGTCAGCCAAAGCTGTCAGAAGGTTTCGAACGGATTAGCTTTCCTACCTGAACTCTGCGAACCCTTCCAGAAACACATGGCCAGCGAGGCTCCGCGCCCGTCCAATTTCAGTGGCCGGTGCCAGGTTGTAAAGTTGCAGTATCCAGCCGCAACAAAAAGCGAGATATCCGATCGGTCAAGACAAAAGCTGCACGAAATCGGTTCCAGTCAAAGATGCAAACGAAACCGAAGAAAGCTGCTACAAGGCCTCAGGGTCCCGGAAAAGGTCACTTGCCAGATTCAGAACAGGCATGGCAGATCATAGCAGTCTCCCCATCTGAACGTGTGTCTCTGAATGAGGGGTGTCCCTTGGAGAGTGACTCCTAGGTTGGGTTCCATTTCATGACACATCGACCCCAAGACGTCTGACACCTCTGCCGGCTTGGCTCGGCGCCGTCTCCAGCTGCTGCTGCACAAGCACCGAGCTCGCGCGCTCCTTCGCGGCGCTACCGAGGGGACCCAGACCAACCGCCCGGCGCTTGGATGGCTACTGCCCCTTGCACAAGAAGTGCTGGACGTCTTGTTGGTGATGAGAATCTGATGGAAAGGCTGAGCTGAGGAAAAATTGCCAGCGCTGTCAGCCTTCTGCCCACACTCTGTCCTGCTCAAGCTTCTGTTGCAGTAGCTCGATCTCCTGGCAGAAATCCATTCGCAGCTCCAGCCAGTTTTTGCATTCGGCCACTACAGCCAGCCGGCCTGCTTCAGCAGTTGAGGCCCACAAACAAAGCCATCATTTGATGAAGAGATCTTTTATGCAGTGTCGCTGGGGCTGACCGCGAAGATTATTCCTGGTTTCCTTTCGACGCTGGTGGCAGCTCCTGAAAGACACGGCACCTTATCAGAAAACCCTGAAGAAAGGTCACTCGATAGTTGAGGTGACTCGACCAACCTGTGTTCAATTCTGAAGACTGTCCGTTGCCATTGCCTCTATCAAAAATGGAACTCCTGAGGCTTTCAAGAGGAGCCAACTTGTTGACACAGCTCCATTGCCTCTTATCCCTCAAACACGCTCCACGAGAGGAGCGAGCCAAAAGAAAAACATATGCGCATATCATTCATGGCGGCCACTCAACATCGTGGGAAAAAAACACACCAACTATCCTCGGGGCCATCCATGCACTGATCAACTAGTAAACATAGCAAGTGTTTAACCAACCAACCAACCAACCAACCAACCAACCAACCAACCAGCCAGCCAGCCAGCCGGCCAGCCGGCCAGCCAGCCAGCCAGCCACCCAACCAAGCAGCCAGCCAACCAGGCCATACGATCTCCGATTAGCTCGAGGCCGTGGCAGAGGTGTGCGTGGAGATCTCGGTGGCTTGGACCGCCAGCTGGCCTTGCAGGCCTCGGACACAACAAACGCGGGAACCATCGGTTCGGATGGTCGGATCGGGGGAACTGAAACAAAGCACTGGGAAAGCAAAAGAAAGCAAAGAAATTGAAGTGGGCGAACTCGGCGCCCGCCGAGGGAACCCCACCTGCATTTAAATGTGCTTTGGTTTCACTTCCAAGTCACAAGGAATTGTTGATTCCCGCTTGTTATGTTTATCAAATCATACGCGCCTTCCAACCATCCCCAGCAATCCCTCGTCATTGTAAACACCCGAAAATCCCGCGAACCAGGGAACAGAATGTTGGGTGAACAAGCATCGCGGGTCAACCCTTAGAAGTGCCAGAAAAAATGGCAGCCTCAAGGGAAGCCATGCCCCAGGGTGGCCAACACAATCCGAATGGTAGGAACGTGAGTTGCAGGAGCAAGGATTTAGGTGCTGGCAGAATCTGGTGTTGGGACAATACCTGGAGTCTTGCTGTTCCATGTGCCCAGATCATGTGCTTCTGTCATTACATATCCGCCGACCCTTTCTCTAAAAAAGGGAGGCGCACGGGAAGGGTGGTTGGCGCAAAAGTATAACCAAGGTTCATCCTCATCAGCATCATCAGCTACGATGATTGTTATCCTCACAGTCATCGTCGTCATCATCATCCTTATCATCATCTCCTTCTTATTCTCTTATCCTTATCATCATTATCAGCATGGTCATCATCATCTCTTATTTGGCAGCGTTGCTGATGCAGAAGATGTTAGGATGACATCATCCTCATCAGCATCATCAGCTACGATGATTGTTATCATCACAGTCATCGTCATCATCATCATCCTCATCATCATCTCCTTCTTATTCTCTTATCCTTATCATCATCATCTCTTATTCGGCAGCGTTGCTGATGCAGAAGATGCTAGGATGACATCATCCTCATCAGCATCATCAGCTACGATGATTGTTATCATCACAGTCATCGTCATCATCATCATCCTTTTCATCATCTCTTTCTTATTCTGTTATCCTTATCATCATTATCTCTTATTCGGCAGCGTTGCTGATGCAGAAGATGTCAGGATGATAGTTAGCATCACAGCCGTTAGTGATGCCAAGGGTGCTACGCTGATAGTTATCATCCTTGCCAAAGGATGCGATGATGATAGTTATCAAGGAACAAGCAGTGATGCAAAGGATGTTATAATGATAGTTGTCATGACGCGGATGATAACGATCATCACGCGTGCCATTATCCTCATAGTCATCACGCCCGTGCCATTATCATCATGGTCGTCGTCATCTCTTATCAGGCAGCATTGGTGATGCAGAGAGGGCTGCGATGATAGTTATCATCACAGCCGTTAGTGATGCCAATGATGCTACAGTGATAGTTACCATCCTTGTCATCATCGTTATCATCATGTGATCATCACCTAGCATCATCTGATATCTTACTATGTGATATATGAAAATCAAAAGGGACGTTAGACATCCTTGCAACGCAAAGGATGCGATGATGATAGTTGTTAAGGAACACGTAGAGATGCAGAGGATGTTGTGATGATAGTTGTCATGACGCGCATGATGACGATCATCACGCCCGTGCCATTATCATCATGGTCGTCGTCATCTCTTTTCACGCAGCATTGGTGATGCAGAGGATGCTCTGATGATAGTTATCGTCACAGCCGATCGTGATGCTAAGGATGCTACGATGATAGTTATCATCCTTGTCGTCATCTTTCTCATCATCTGATCATCACCTGGCATCATCTAATATCGTAGTATTTAGAAAAATCGAAAGGGACGTTGGCAATGCAAAGGATGCGATGATGATACTTATCAAGGAACAAGTAGGAGATGCAGAGGATGTTGTGATGATAGTTGTCATGGCGCGGATGATAACGATCATCACGCCCGTGCCAATTTCATCATGGTCGTCGTCATCTCTTATCACGCAGCATTGGTGATGCAGAGGATGCTGCGATGATAGTTATCATCACAGCCGTTAGTGATGCGAAGGATGCTACGATGATAGTTGTCATCCTTGTCATCATCTTTCTCATCATCTGATCATCACCTGGCATCATCCAATCTCTTAATATATATAGAAAAAGGGACGTTAGACATCCTTGGCAATGCAGAGGATGCGATGATGATACTTATCAAGGGACACGTAGAGATGCAGAGGATGTTGTGATGATAGTTGTCATGACGCGGATGATAACGATCACCACGCCCGTGCCATTATCATCATGGTCGTCGTCGTCTCCTATCAGGCAGCATTGGTGATGCAGAGGGTGCTACGATGATAGTTATCATCACGGCCGTTAGTGATGCTTGCTACAATGATAGTTATCATCCTTGTCACCATCTTTCTCACCATCTGATCATCACCTAGCACGTGCCATTATCATCATGGTCGTCGTCATCTCTTATCAGGCAGCATTGGTGATGCAGAGGACGCTGCGATGGTAGTTATCATCACAGCCGTTAGTGATGCTAAGGATGCTACGATGATAGTTATCATCCTTGTCATCATCGTTATCATCAGCTGATCATCACCTAGCATCATCTGATATCTTTTTATGTTATGTATGAAAATCAAAAGGGACGTTAGACATCCTTGCAATGCAAAAGATGCGATGATGATAGTTGTCAAGGAACACGTAGAGATGCAGAGGATGTTGTGATGATAGTTGTCATGACGCGGATGATTACGATCATCACGCCCGTGCCATTATCATCATGGTCGTCGTCATCTCTTCTCACGCGGCATTGGTGATGCAGAGGATGCTGTGATGATAGTTATCGTCACAGCGGTTAGTGATGCTAAGGATGCTACGATGATAGTTACCATCCTTGTCGTCATCCTTCTCATCATCTGATCATCACCTGGCATCATCTAATATCGTAGTATTTAGAAAAATCGAAAGGGACGTTGGCAATGCAAAGGATGCGATGATGATACTTATCAAGGAACAAGTAGAGATGCAGAGGATGTTGTGATGATAGTTGTCATGGCGCGGATGATAACGATCATCACGCCCGTGCCAATTTCATCATGGTCGTCGTCATCTCTTCTCACGCAGCATTGGTGATGCAGAGGATGCTGCGATGATAGTTATCATCACAGCCGTTAGTGATGCTAAGGATGCGACGATGATAGTTATCATCCTTGTCATCATCTTTATCATCATCTTTATCGTCATCTGTTCATCACCTGGCATCATCAAATATCTTATTATGTGATATATGAAAATCAAAAGGACGTTAGACATTCGGATGCGACGCTGATAGTTGTCAAGGAACACCTAGAGATGCAGAGGATGTTGTGATGATAGTTGCAATGACGCGGATGATAATGATCATCACACCCGTGCCATTATCATCATGGTCGTCGTCATCTACTATCAGGCAGCATTGGTGATGCAGAGGATGCGACGATGATAGTTATCATCAAAGCCGTTAGTGATGGTAAGGATGCTACGATGATAGTTATCATCCTTGTCATCATCTTCTTCATCATCTGATCATGCGGCATTATCATCATGGCCGTCGTCATCTCTTATCACGCAGCATTGGTGATGCAGAGGATGCTGCGATGATAGTTATCATCACAGCCGTTAGTGATGCTAAGGATGCTACGATGATATAGTTATCATCCTTCTCATCATCTGATCATCACCTAGCATCATCTAATATCTTATTATATTTTATGTAGAAATCATAAGATGCTGTGATGATAGTTGTCATGGCGCGGATGATAACGATCATCACGCCCGTGCCATTATCATCATGGTCGTCGTCATCTCTTATAAGGCAGCATTGGTGATGCAGAGGATGCTACGGTGATCGTTATCATGACAGTCATCCATTGCCCAATTGTTCAGTGGCATCCTTGTGTCTCTTTTCTAGCGAGCTTTTTCTCAGGGAAAGCACCTCAAATTAATATTTTTTCAAATTTCAGGTGTGGGAGTGGCATCCTTGTCTCTTTTTCCTGGCGAACTTTTGTCAGGGAGAGCACCTCAAATTCATATTTTTTAATTTGAGGTGTGGGAGACTTCGTTTTGGGCTGCATCATCGTCATCATCATCATCATCACTTGTGCTTCTTTTCTAGCGAGCTTTTTGTCAGGGAAAGCACATCAAATTAGTATGTTTTAATTTGAGGTGTGGGAGTGGCATCCTTGTCTCTTTTTCCTGGCGAACTTTTTGTCAGGGAGAGCACCTCCAATTCATATTTTTTAATTTGAGGTGTGGGCGACTTCGCTTTGGGCATCATCACTCGTGCTTCTTTTCTAGCGAGCTTTTTGTCAGGGAAAGCACCTCAAATTAATATGTTTAATTTGGGGTGTGAGAGTGGCATCCTTGTCTCTTTTTCCTGGCGAACTTTTGTCAGGGAGAGCACCTCAAATTAACATTTTTAATTTGAGGTGTGGGAGACTTTGTTTTGGGCTGCATCATCGTCATCATCATCATCATCCTTCTCATCATCATCATGATGGTCCTCATCATCTCTTTCTTATTCTCTTATCCTTATCATAATTATCATCATGGCCATCATCATCTCTTATTCCTAATGCAGAAGATGTTACGATGATAGTTGTCATCACAGCCGTTAGTGATGCCAAGGATGCTACAATGATAGTTGTCATCCTAGTCATCATCTTTGCATCACCTCATATCATCATATATATGTATTAATATTTTATTATATTGTATATATAGAAATCAAAAGGGACGTGAGACATCCTTGGCAATGCCCATGACTGGGTGTCGGCGGCACAGGGCGGCAGCCCTTTAATCCGGCCACCGGACGTGATCGGGCCGCAGGCCAAAGCCCGTTAGGGCTTACCTTCAGGTATAAGGCCGCGCGCCCCATGCCGCCGACCATGCGCGGACCATGACCAGAACATGCGCATACGTTTTATGCTGGGCCCTCCCTTATAAGGGGCGAAGGATTTGCGGATTGGTTTAGGCGTTTTTGTAGCATCTCCCCGCAGCATCCAAAAACGAGTATTTTT